CTTTAGTTCAAAGAGTGTGATCAAAATTAATTCCTTTTTTCACAAGATGTGCTTGAGAAGTGTACCTTTATTTCAACGGTTAAATGGTGCCTGTAAGTCTAGTCTAACTGACGCAATTCAATTCTAAAAAACGTTTCTGGGTTTTTACCGGTCATACCTTACTTCTTGTGTTGGAAAAACTCGGTGTTTCTATTTGATTTAGTGTTTAATCATCGCTCAAAGAAGGCCATTTGCTAAGGACAGTCAACGGTAATTGGTGTTCCTGTTGTTGATGAGATCAATCACTTACTCAACCGTCGAGTGAAAAGACCATTCGCTGGACTAAGATGTGAGGAATGCAAGGTAAACTGAAAAGCGTTTTGAGTCAATACAACAGATTTGATATCAATTTTCATGTTAGACATTTTCCCTTTTCTTTGAATCGATTATTTTCTGTTTATTCATGAATATCATGCAACATTTTTGTTTGGTTAATTGGTGCAGAGACATTTAACCAGAATGAAAAGCCGAAAATGATAGTTACATGAGATAAACAAAGAAAATTGTTGGATCTTGTCACATAATAGAAAATAATGAAAGAGAAAAATGCTTGGAACAAGTTATTGGGAGAAATTATTTTCTCCTCTTTTTTTGTCTTTTCAGCTTTCCTTTTATTCCTTTCTTGGTTTTCTTGGTTATTGAATGAAATTTGATTCATGAAACTTGCAAACTCAGTGCGATCAAATTTCAGATTCATTGAATAAAAGGAAAAAGCACTTGAAGCACATTATTATTATTGATCGGAAGAAACAGAAACGGATGTATCTAGCAAACTATCAAGATGAGCATTTGATATTCAAAGTGAAAAGGGAAAAAAGTAAAACAACATCAACATGGAAGATTAAAATTTCATCTTCTCCTTTGTCAACCTTTCTTTCCTCATCATCACCATCATCATGGTGATCATCCTTGAAAAGAGTGAAACAAAAATGAGCAATAAATTTGGTTAAATGAGGTAAACTTGGAAAACATTAACATGGATAAAATGAAGGAAAGGATAAAAAAAGAGAGAACGAGACAAAAGTTCATCATTTGATGGGTTAAAGTAATGTTATTAAATTGTATTTATGTCGACCTCGTATTTGAAACCATTAAACACCAACATTGATATCATTAGATTGGTAATAATAGATTTCAATGATCTCGACTATTATCAGGAAAAGATGCGAAAGAAAAACATTTCAATGAAACTTCATTTTTTGTGTTCGCTTTTTTTGTTGGTAAAACAGCTTTTCATGAGTTTACATGAGTTCAATTCATTTTCCAATTAGATGCCAATTAACAAGTAAATTGGAGCAATTGAAAAGTGGAAAATATTGAAACATTACTCTTGAAAATGCAAAACTGGAAATGTTTTCGTGAGTTGATTCAACACTTGAGAGGAAAAGGGTGAAAGTTGATTGGCCAGATTCTTGTTATCAGAATTTCATTGTTCTTTTCTTCGTTTTCCCTGTTTATCATCATTGTAATCATTGCAAGAGTTTTTTTGTCTTCTCGTTGTAAGTGATTCTCAATGTCTTTTAAGCAGATAATTCTGGTTCGAGAATGGAAACCAGAAGATGATCATGGAGACAGTTTTTCAAGATCTAATAATAATAATGACAGTCTAACTGGGAAAGGTCAATTGATGAAAAGAGTTTGTTGAACTTTATTGTTTATATTGTTATCCATTATTGCATTGTAATAAAATGATGAAAGATGAATTCGCATAACTTTTATTTCGATTTTTATGATTTGCCTTTTTTCGTCCATCAAAAATTCGCAATAAAACTTGCAATCGAACCAATTATCAGTTTGATCGAGCAATTAAATTACCAATTGATGTCTATTGATGGATCATTTACAAGAAAAGAATCTTTATGATTTATCAATTATTTCATCTACTTTTGTCATTGATCATGTTTTATCGAGAAATTTCAATGTCTGGGAGTGCAAGCTGGGAGTGAAATTCATGGTTTCTCCTTTTAATCGATGAAATGCTGAGGAAGTTAAAAGTTTTTTTTCTTCATGTTATTTGAAAGTTTTCATTCAATCATTTGCTAATTTAGAGGAAAAAAGTTGCATTTTAAAGTTGAACTTTTTTCTTCACTTTTCCAACTTAACGAATGAGTTTTGATAATAGAAATGATAATTGTTGAACAGGGAATGAGCTTGTTTGAAAAAAGTGTCATTTTCATGGCAACAGGGAAAAAAGTTTTGACTCTTTTGAGGAGCAGCTCAAACAAAAGAGATAACTTGATGCGGAAATTAATATCATTTAGTTCCAGCAACTTTTCAGCTTACCATTTGAGTCACTTTTTCATTTCTTCAAGTTTACATTTTTTCTCATCATGTTGGGAATAATGCTGATGAAAAGAACTCTTTTTCATGGTAAAGATTACGTGTTCAATTTTTATCACAAACTGACAGGCAAAGTTTCCATTTTTCATTTAAATCATTTTTTGTTTTCTCATTTCCGTTGCCAGGTTTATTCAGAATTAGTCAATAGAGTTTCGGGTGAAAAAATGATGGACCATCATGGAGCTCCGAGAATAATTAAATTCTCAATATGATTAAATTCAACATTCTCTTCTACTCCAAGACAAATGCTCGATCAATAAGTAAATGAAAAAATCTCAGTCGACCGAAAATTCGCAAAGAAAAAGTTGAAAAAACGAAAAATTCGATAAAAGATTTTACAGATTTTCGAGATTTTAATCTCTTCTTCACTGAGAACTTCAAAACTGCTATCTTCAAACAAAAATCTTGATTTCATTTTCTATTAAGTTCGAAAATCATCTTCATGACAGAGCTGAGGTTCAAGCGTAAAATCGTACCTGAGGTCGAGCTGGGAAGTTCATGATTAGACAATTGAGTTGATCTTTTGAGTATCGGATTGGCTGAGTTTGATTTGGAATAGTTGAATGAGAATGAGTTACTTTGTTTCCAATGATAAAGTTCAAGTTTGAGGTCAGATTTGAAGAAAGGAAAACAAGTCGAGGCAAATGTGGAAACTCAGCATAACAGGACGTTCAGCGTGATTGATTACGGAAGAAAGGGAAAAGAGAAATGCATTTGACTTTGAATCATCACATTTTGCTTTGTTTGATTTCACTTGTTTAACCCTTTTGTTTGTTATTCATTGGGTGAATAAAATCAATACTTTCCGTTTCAATCATGTTTACCCTTCTTCTTTTCACTCTTGCTGGTAACCATGATTAACATTTTGATCTATTTTTTCGTTTTCTTGCAACATTTTTGTTCTTTCACTTTCTTCTTCTTGAAAATGATGAACAAATGAAAGGAAAATTGAGGTGAAAATGAAGTGTTAATCTCATGTAATATTTTTCTTCAACTTGTTGGTTCTTCGTAAAATGATGTAAAGGAAAAGGTGATTTTTACATGAAAGATTATTTTAGTCATTTTCATGATGTAAATTGAAAATTGGAATTTCATTTCAAATATAATGAGACAGAAACGGTGGAAAAGTTCAGTCAACTATTGTATTTTATTGCAACTTTAATGGAAACCAACAGAAAGTATTCAATTGAACTTCTCTTCAAGCAACAGAATTTTTTCTCTTTCTTTTACTTCTTTTTCTTTTTGTCATTACTTTCACTTTTGACGACCAACTGAGAAGAATGAATGAAATTCAACTTGAACAAGAACAACAATCAGATGATGAAGGAATAACGGGTGAATAAGTTATTGAGAAAGATTGAGTTGAGTGAGCAAAGAGAAGGAATAAAATTAGATTTTAGATTATGGATGAATGAAAAAACCATGAACATCACAGAGAAAAAAGGAAATTCTTTTTCCCGGGTCTTCTTTTTACATGAAAATATCACAAAATGTTTCATCGTTTGTATCATTCAATTTACAAATTTCAATCTTTTCCACGACCTTTCAAGTTCCCGCAATTGCAGAACAATTTCAAGGTCAATTCCAGAATCGATTAAAAGTTGTTCAACTTTTCAAGAATTGCCATTTGTTCATGAAGCGAAAATCCAAGTTTCAATTGAATCAAATTTCGAAGGAACTTCTCTGCTTTTTGGAAAAGACTTTTCCTTGCAATTTGAGAATCGCATTTTCATTATAAAGCTAATTTAGTTGATGCTTTATTTGATACATTAATCTAGTGAACAAGATTGTGGCCATCGAAGCGGATGTGATGGTCAAGGTAAAGGTGACTCGAGGGACTCTTGTTAACATTACAATTTATGTTCACTCAGTTTAATATAAAATATCAAAACGTGCTCAATCTGTGTTCAACTTGAAAATGTGTGATTTATCAACGCTTTTACCTTCCATTATTTTTCCAATTATTAATTTAAAAGTTGAATCTTTTTCATTTTTTCATCTTTTTTGGTTCAAATTTTTTCCTTTCAATTACTTGTTTTCATGATTCACCTAAAATGGTTCAATTCTTGAAAAGTGTTTCATTAAAAATTAAGATTATCAGTTGTGTGAATGTTTTATTGATTAGCTGGAAAGCATTTGATTTGTATTTCATTGTGAATCTTTTTTATTGAGATTTCAATGGTTTTAAATGCTAAGTGAAATTCAATGTAAAATGAAAAAATGTAAACATGAACTAATCGAAAAATAGTTAAAGACGAATTGAATGGTTTCCAGGAAACGGCTTTTGTAATGCAACATTTAAAGAAATGAAATGTTAAAGGGTTAAAAGAAATTCGAATCACTTTATTTTTCCAAAAATCATGGAAATAATGACAAACTTTGAATGAAAAATGTTAGCAAAATGCGATCAAATGCCATGATGAGCTGCAGTGAAAATCTGAATGAAATGCATTTTCTCTCCAACACATCCAACTCAAAGAAGTTTCAGATAAACTCAAGGCTTGAAGTGTATGGAACAGATAATGAACTTGAATTGGATTCGTATTAATATGCAAAGAGTGACAGTTTCAATTGATATAAAGACAGATTGATCAGTGAAACTTAACCATGAAAACAATAACGATCAACAAATGCGATAACAGTTATTGTTGGCATTATTACTGTACAAGTACACCATGAACAAGAGTAATAATACTAATGATAATAATGTAACAATAAATAAAGTGAGAAAAGTTCAGTGGAAAAAGGTATTATTCTGTGTGCAAAAAGAGTAATGAGCTTATGATGAGAAGTTGAAACAGAAAATAATCCAAAAAAAAGTTTAATCTTGTTGGTGAGTTGACACTTAATTGGCAAATAAATCAAAACAAAAAGTGAACAATTAATTGTGAAATGGTGAGTAAATGAAGAAAAAATCGGAATCTCAACCAGAACATGAAACAATAATTACTCAAATGGCAGATAAATTTGATGCTTTTTACAGTTTCCTACAAAGTCTCATGTAAAAGTGCGCCAACATGGAAACATTATCATGTAAATGATGTTACAATTTTACCATTGAATTTATGGTTGAGTTAATCAGTTGAGTTGAAAATTGTTTTAAAAGCGCAAAGAGAATAAAGTTGCTTTTCGAATTTCAATTTTTGTTCTATCATTTTTCATAAACACTTATTGATCAACTTTTCAATTGAAATTTGAACAGATTATTCCAAGATAATCACTCAGCATCTGATGGAAAATGATGAAACAAAAGTTGAATTTAATCATTTTTCATGGTAAAAACTCTATCATCGGGTTATTCAACGGAATCGAGCGCGTTTCAAATCTCGAATTTTCAGCTCTTGAGATGTGAATCGTTTGTGAATCGCAAATGTTGATAAATTCATTATTAAAAGGGAAAAGTCAATATTGTTGGTGAAAGGTTTGGATAAGTTTAAAGTTTTCACTCTGAGCTTTGCAACAAAATTTGCTCATCAATGAATAATAAAATGCAAAATTACCATTAAATCAATCGATAAAAAAGTGTTCATTATCGTTGGGAAAAGAGATGAGATTGAGATGAAAAAGAATTCACGATTTCTCTTGGAACATTTTTCGTCTCAATTTTTAATGTTGAATGTTTGGGTTTCAAGTGAGGTGATAATGAGTGTTGTGGCCATTAACTTGGATAGTCTGAGAGTTTAAGTTGATCACGAATATTCAAGGTGAATATTTGATTCTTTGCTTACGAATATTTCTCATGTAACATTTAATGGGTTCGAGTTAGTTCAAGTGTGCAATAATGTTGAGAGGAAAGAAATCATTACCAGGGAAGAAGTTGCCAGAATGCGAAAGTGTTTCAAGAGAGATTTAAAATTTTCACGAAACAATTCGAGCATCAAAACAAAATAGTCATGAGTTTAAGGTGGAGAAAAAAAGTGGCAGAATTTTGAGGGTGGAAAAGAGAAAAAATGAAAAATTGTTCGAAAACACTGAACACTGAGAACTATTGGAGACGAGAAATCCAAGTATCTCTGGGTTGAGTGAATTTTGGCCAATAAACTTGTATCAAGGTTGAGAGGGAAAAGGTGGATAAAGAGGAAAATGATGAGAAGATGATGAAGATGGCATGAGATGAAAGATTATGATAAAGTGAAATTGGAAGCTTTATTTTTGTCGATTATCGATAAACTGTATTTAGGGATTGATCGAGTTTTCCAGTTTTACCTTTTCTTGACTTGTTTTGGAGAAAACCTTTTCTCTCTCAAAGTCATGATTAAAATGAAAGATTCATGCATTTTATTAATATATTTGGAAAGAGTTAAAATCTTAACCGTAAATACCTTTGGGATGGATTGGCAATCTATTTGTGTCTGAATAAGGA